TTTATTTAAACTGTAATTTAATCATAAATTATTTTAAAACCCATAGATTATAAAATGATTAGTTTTTTATAACAACTAATAGCATGTCAAGATAAGTTTTGTTAATTTTGTTGTAGAATTTATTCTACTAATACTTTAAAAGACATTGATTTGTTTTAAAGATTTATTTACTTGTTCAGATTGATTATTAGTTTTTCATAAGTGCTTCATCTGTGTCATGCATTACCCAAAGAAGAAATTTATAAAGACATTTAATATGAAATTGAATGTGAATTTTAATGTTTGATGTAATTTATGTCAATTATTTTCTTACTAAAGTTAAACATCTATGTAATATTCTGATAACAGAAGTGATTATTCATGTGAGAAATTACTAAAGAATATAATTATAAATTTCATATTTCTTGATGCATTTTTCTCCATTTGAATCTGTCTCTTGCTATCTATGAATATAATGTATAATTGAATTGAAGTTGTGACATAGACAAGCTCTTAATTGGTGCTTCATAAACCATTATTCAATAAAAATTGATTTGAAAATTTCTATTTTCTTAATCTACATGCTTTTCATAAACATATACAAATATATCTATGTTAATTTATATATAAATGCATACACATTTATGTACATCTGTATATAAATGTGTACAGCAAGTCCTCAATGTCATTGATAAGTTCTTTGAAACTGTGATGTTAAACAAAACAATATATAATGATACCAATTTTATCATAGGCTAAATGACATAAACAAAATATAATTCAGTTAATATTATTCTAATTGGATCTAGCATTTATTTCCCGTCTCATAGAATCAGTTTTACTGTTTTTAAAGAAAATTCAACAACAATAATTGTACATGACTACAAATATATTTCCATTTTCCTCAATGATGTTATAATGAAACAGTGTTAGTATATTGCTGTATATTGGTGTTCTTCAAAACTGTGAAAACACTGAAAATACTCCACTGTTTTCAAAAGATTGAGAAATGCTGCTGTACACATTTGTTTTTAGCAATGGATTGAAATCATTATCATTACCATAATTCTTAAAATTTTTAAAAATTTTATCTAATGTATCTGTTTTTTTAAATTGTCTCTAGTACATCTGTGCTTTTCTAAAAGTTAAAACTATCCAAAAATTTTTTATTAATTTATAGAAAAACATTTATAAACGTAAAAATTTGTATTACTTTATAAAATATAAATACTTGCAAGGACTTTTTATTATTTAAGTTTAGCTTTTGAAGTTAAATATAAATAATAAATATCAAATTTTTTACTGACAAAGTATTAAAGTATTGTTACAAGGAAGCTTACAAATTAGAAATATTTAGTAATAACAATAAAAAGATTGTACAATTTGAAAACAAAAGTAAAGTTACAGAACACAGAATAATTCCTAAAATACACTTCTGTATAGTTGCTAAACTAAAATGGCTACATTTTTGGTGAGACAAAGTGGGATGCTTTTTATGTTTTATCAGTTTCAAATATTTTTATATATGATTTCATCTATACCATTAACAACCTTATCCTGTTTTGCTTTCCAGTCTAAAATATACATCAACCACAAGTCAATGAGAATAAGTCAACAGATACCTGTGAGAAGGAGAATGGGATTGATCTTTTTCTTTTCAGATCAGCAACTGCTTAAGTCTTTATTAAGATGTTTAAATTTTAAGTCTTTTCTGACCCAGTGTGTAACCCTGTTGCTTGCAAGTTTATATTAACAGTTAACTACAGTGGACATTGGTTTCAGGATATACATGATACCAGAATACTAAAAACACTGAATTGTGATAATTGTGAATCCAAATTGTTCCATGATTCACCTCAATCCAACTATTGTGTGACAGATAATGTGCACAAAATTGTCCTTATTGGAAGAACATTTGTTGCACAATATTTTACTGAGTAAATTTTTCACATAAGATCTCAGCACTATATGAGTATGTTTATGAATATAAACAGTTGATTTTCAAATCATGAAATACTTCTAAAGCTGGAATTTCTACATATTAATTAATGTGCAGTAACTTTACACACTTTTCCAGCAGGATAATATTTTTAATTTCAAATACATAATAGCAAATTTTTGAACCCCTTTCTGAGGCCTGCTTCGTGCTTACATAGAAAAAAAAATACAAGCTGAGATTGTAATTTTAGAATATTTTTCAAGTTCATTCTTCTGTGTCATTAATACCAATCATCAATATACTAGCTTAATACATAAATAAATCACCCACCAACACCAATAACCAACAAAAACTAAAAATTCTTACTGATAAACAAATAAAAATAAATTCTCACTGTAACTAATGTTTTCTTCCGGTTATAGTGGACTCAGGTTTAACCAATGGAACTTAAATGCAAGAACAAAAACTTTTTTGTTTTTCCAATGCATCTCTAAAGCAGTAAGTTCATATGTCCTGCTAAACATTTGGAGGACAACAGGACATGAAGCTCAAGTTTCCTGAATTTAGTGTTCTGAAGGCTTCTACCTAATCAGAACATTAAATTGGGATATACAGCCACATTAAGATATAACATTAATATAATATTTCCTTAAGTCACTAATTACCTCATAAACATTTAGTATATGATATAAATTAAAATCTTTTCATATTTACCAGTCATATGAAGAATTATGAAAATTAAGATAAAATTAAGATAAACAAAATTTTTTATCAGTCTCAATTAGGTTAAAAATCTTTTCACATTTTTAAATAATAAACATGAAATATAAAATAAAGTATTTATTTTATATATATTTAATGTTATTAATAATATAATGCATCAGACAAAGATGTATTCTTATTCAATCTTAATTTTTAATTGTGTGATATGCATTCATTAGACATAAAATAATGATACAAAACATTTGTTCATTAGTGTATTTTATGTGTAATATGTAATGTTTAATTACTAAGTAATTGTTAACAATCTGTTGTATAATTATTAATTTAATAAATTTGTAATTAATAATTAAAATTAGATCCATTTAAATATATTTAAAATTTTCATTTTAATATTATTAACTTTTCTTTTATCTAGTTTTTTAAACAAAAATATGCAATTAAAAAATGCTTAGTTTTTGTCAGCAAAATTTATACCATTTGCTTTCTGATTATATAAATTTTCTTCATAAAAAACTTATTTCCATAACAGAATTGTTTTAAATATCTTAATAGATGCACTTTCTAAATAATGTCACAGTTTATATAATAGTTTTATATTTATAATATAACAATGCAAGTCTTTATATATATTTACTTGAAAAACATTTTTTCTCCTCTCATTTTTCAAAGTAAAGATTTATAAAAGAGATTAAGTGAACTTAATAATGCATTATATATGAATAGTGCTTAATACAGAACGTAATATTTCATTTGTATGGAATGTAATAAAATAATCTTATTAATGGTCAGTAGATAATTTGAGATACTTCAATCCAAAGTTCTTCTTATTCACTTTCACATGATTTTTGGTATTCAATAAAGTTGGTTTGTAAATCAATGCTAGCATTGATTTACAAACCAACAAGTAGAATGCTGTAAGCCTGTTTTCAAATGATAAAAATCTTTTATTATGATAATTCTTTTTACATTAGTAATCACATAGCAGAGATGATCCAAAAATTTTAAAAAGTGGGATAAGATGCCATTTGGAATTATGTGCCTTTGCACATTTTAAAATAAACATTTTCAGCTGCTTTTGAACTGTAACCTGAAGATCACTATTCAAGGTAACTGAAAATGTTTGTTTTAAAATTATTGTCTGGGTATTAAAAATTTGGTAAAATTAATTTAACTATTAAAAAATTCTCTATATTTTCTTTAAAAGTTGCAAATTCTTTATTTTATAAAATAAAAATGTTTTTATTGGTGTTGGAAATAAATAAACTAAATTGTAAACAAGTAAATTATCTTTTTAATATTCAATAACTCTAATTTATAAAAAATAATATAAATTAATTCATTCATTTATGTTTTCATCATAATACTTGTTGATAAATCCTTTTTATTCTTTAAGGCAGTTTAAACAAAGTTATGTTTAATTAAATATCATTGTTCTGGTTTTGATATTTTCTATTACATGTTAATTAATTATAAATTATTCATATATTTTTATTATATTATAAATTCCTAACTTTTAACCATTTTTTTTATTTTTAATTATTAAACATTTTTATTTGTGTATTGAAGATTCTTGTTTTTCATTGAATGAATGATTCTGTTATAATAGAAATTTTCTATTTAAATATATAAAAGCAGGAGAAATAAATAAATATTTTATTTATATGCAAATATGAAAAAATATATAAATTTCCTAATATTTTATAAGAATCTTTTTGTTTAAATAAAAATACAGTCACATAAAAATACATTATTTATGAATCAATAAATAAATGAATATGATGAGAACTTATTACAATTTATATATTGAAACAATCTCTTATATCATTGAAATTAAATTTCTGTATCATTAAATTATATTTATGACATGAGTCTTGCATTGTGACAGTTATAAATGCTCAATGTTATGATTTTATCAATTGTTGAATTGTTAAAAATCACATTCTGCATAATTCAATGTTTAATTAGCTTGTTTACTAATTCTGTTTTATTTAATTTGATTTTAGGAGATCATTTTAAATTATTGTGATTAATCATTAATTTTAAAGTATTTTTATATTTACAAAATTAAAATTTTTTTTTTGTTTGTAAATTGATAAAATATTTCTTAAATTAAAATAAATTGCACATAAATAAATTAAAGCAGGATGAAAACTGCACATGTTTTTTTAATTGGTTTTAAAGTAAAATTTTTCAATTATCAAAAGTTCATTATAATTCTGTTGTTTGTTTAGCACAAATTTCAGTAACATCTTTCTTTAAATAATAAATTCTTTGTTCTAATTATATGATATGATGATAAAAAATTTTAAAAATTAATCATTAAAAATATATTTAATATTTCTATCAAATTTATTCACAGGCTGATGGCAAAAAACTTCCACGAGACAGAACTTTCATCCGTGGTGGAAACATCACCATCCGTGGATTGAGAAAAGAGGATCATGGACAGTATGAATGTGTCTTAGAAAATGAAATTGCCACTTTAGTTACTAGCACTCTTCTTCTTGTAGAAAGTAAGTAAATGAATATTTTATTGATGATAATTTACATAAACAAAGAAACAGTCAATAATTATCAATTTTTCTCTCATATTCCTAAGCTTAAAACTACTACTTTTAAATAACATTTGTGATTTCTTTACAATTATTATTAATAAACATTAAACAAAAAAAGATTTTAAAATATATGAATTCATTTCAAACATTACTACATTGAATTAAATATAAATTTACTGTATTTATTGACAAGACTATGTCTTGTTTATAAAATCATACATAAAAGATGTCTTGTTTATAAAATCAGCTTAGAGGTATGAAGGAGTATATGTCAGGAGTTGCAATATGGCACAGAGTATTAGGTGCCCAAATCATGATGGCCAAAAACTTGTAGATACTCAGGGGACCGAGAACCGAGTCAAAATAAAATACAAAATGGCGACTTTCTGTACAAACAGGCAAACCGAAGTCAGATGGTGCAAGTACCACCCACAGTCATTCTAGGAAGTGGACTCTGACCCTAGGACTGAACACATAGTATTTTCTTTGTTAAATAAAATCTGTAATCTAATTTTGTAAATTTGGGAGTGCTTCAAATATGACATTAAAACAGGGTTTTATATCATTACAAGTAGGTTTTTAACATTATCTAGTATAGTAAAATCGTGGGACTGATAAAAAATTTGACGTTATATTAGGGTTGTCATTACATCCGATGACATTATAATCGGGTTAAACTGTATATTGTTTGTGCAAAATAAAAAAGAATAATTTCAGACGATACAATAGCCACGATTATTTTTTTTTCAAAAACAGGAAATTTTCGTTATGTATTGACAAAAATTCAACCCGGGCCAGCACGCAACGGAGAGAAATTTCGAAATTGGATAGGTTAATTTCATCGAAAATGCATCGCTTAGTAATGAGTCTCCAAGACATAGTCTTGTCCCAAATACGGTTTTGCCATTTTACTTGTTTATAATAAAATAACCAAATTATCCTTTTACAACATTGTATACAAACATTCTAATACATGCTGAATATTATGTAGAAAAATTTGCTTAACTAATTTATGGCAAATTTCAACATACATATAATTGTATATTTTCTAATAATTCATGAGTTTATAATTATATTTATTTATAAACATGAAAATAATGCCAAATTTGAAAGCTTAAATATTTTTTTTTTTCTAAAATTACCTTGAATATAAAGTTAATAACATGTTTAAAAAATTAAAGTGAAATTAACAAAAATAAGTGGTTGGAAGATTATTTTTTAATTTGGAATAATAAACCTTTATTTGTCCTTTAAAATTGTTATTAACATTGTTAAAATCAATTATATTTTATATGATTTTTTAAAATGTTATAATTTATTTTTTTGTTTGTCATCCATATTATACAAAATTTACTTTGACAATGAATCTTTTAAAAGCCTGAAATTCAGTTTATTACAATAATATTAAAATGGACATATTTAAACTTCTTTCTTAATTAATGAAATGCTATTCTGTTATTTAAATGTAATCAATTATCTCTGGTAAAATTTAACTGAAAGTAATTTTAACAAATTAATTTTAAAAGTTTCATTTAAAATGTCTAATATTTCTCAACAGTAATTTCATTTTAAATAATTCAATATATACTTTTTAGAAATCATAATTCAAATTTATTTTGTGTTTAGTATTTTTGGAATTTTTTGTTCTGACTTTGGAATTTAACATTATAAAAATTAGAATTCAGAAGTATTTTAAAGTTTTAATTTCTTCTGATATAAAATTCTGAAGATAGAATAGAAACTCTAAAAAACATTAAAATTAAAGTAAGCATTACCAAAATAAATTTGAATTAAGATTTCTAAGAAGTATATATTGACATATTTCCATATTTAATGAGTGAGATGAAATGAATTCAATTATCTTAAATTTCTTGATAAAATAGAAATAAATTTTCTGAAAGTTATGTAAATATATTTTTCTGTTTGTACTATTTCATAAATTGTTTTTACACAATTAAACAGTTATATTACAATCTTTCTACAGTACAATGATATTTCTATACAAATATGAAATAATAGTTCAAATGAATTTATTTAGAAAGTGGTGATAGATTATGAATTTTATTTTATTTAATATACAAATTATTTGTCTAAATAAATATATTTCAGGTAATACTATCAAACTTCAATAATAGTTAGAAGTTAAACTAATAAATACAATATACCAAACAGTTGTTATAATTAATTAAAAAACAGAATTCTTGGCATTGATTTAGACACTTGAGATTTAATTCAGATAAACTTTTTGTAACCCTATATTTTATGAGATCAATAAAAATTCAAATATGGATCTAAGCTGAAATCTAGGGTTTTGAAAATGTATACCTAAATTAAATTTTACCCTGGCTTCTAATTAATTTAAGTGTTTTATTTCTTGATTAACAGCTTTATTTTTTAAATTAAAATCTATGATTACATCATTATAATGGTTTTTTTTTATTTCTAAATAAAAGCACAATTTTTGATATTCTGTTATATTGTTGATGAGTTAATGAAGTAATAAAATTGAAATAAAGAGTAATTGTTATGATAATTGCTGTGTAAGACAACTCTACACAAGTAAATTAATGTAAACAATTGAAAATATCGGCAATTGATCATCTCTACTAAAGAATTTATTTTCTTCCAAAGTTAATTAACAAAAATTCAACATTAAATTATGAAATAAACACAAAAAATAACTAAATTTTAAAATATTTACATTTTTAATTTTTAAAGAATTTTTTTTTTATCTCACAAATTCTCAGCAAACAAACACTCTGCAAACTAGGAAGCTACACTGGGTGTTTGAAAGCTTTTATTTATACTCCAAGGAAAATTGTAGACTTCCTAGTCTGCCCTTTTCTAAATAAAGGTATTGAAACACGTTTTATACACTGGCATGCAAAACTCAAGCAATGGTGTAATTTTTAAGCAGACGGCCATGAAATTGTAGAAAAGGGCTTGTTGCAATCAGTATAATGAACACCCAATTCAGTAGAAAGATAATTTGTATGCAGGAAGAAGACATCACACGTGATGTGAGGGCATGCAAAACATATGCAGTCAGTGCAAGCACTGCAAGACTACAATAAACAGAAGGCTTTGATTCCGTACTGTGTATTCTATTCATTTTTGTGCTAGTATGCTTTCTTCATCCTTTAAGTACAAAATAATGTCTCTATAGTCTGAATTTCATATCTCCCAGGTGATTTCTTGTGGAGTTACAGCAAAAAAAAAAAAAAACAATTATTGCTTAAGTTTTGCATACCAGTGTAAAATTAAATTTATAAAATATATTTTAAATTTAAATTAACAAATCATTTCATAATAACAGATAGAATAATCAGTTATTACAAAAATTTATGTTTAATATATCAGAAGCAGTATCTGGCTTATTTTCTTGGATCATGACTGTAAAATCAAAACTTATGAGTATACAATTTATTTAATGCAACTGAAAAAAAATTATTTAAAAAATGTTTGTTTTCTTGTATCCATCATCAGCTACTGCATTTAGAGCAGTTACATATTCTGAAATGGAACACTTGTTTCAAGTATCTCATTTTAGACTTTTTAAGCTTTAAAAGTATAATAATGGTTTTCAATCTTTTTCTAATAATTGCACTTCTAACTTGATAATTTTTTTCTTGTGGCACCCATAATTTCTTATCAATGTAGAGTTATTACACTTTCTGTACTTTTAGTAATACACGTAAAAAGTGTTATGGCCCTGTCAGCACTATATTTTACAGCCTTGTCAGCACCCCTGAAGTGTTGTTGTGACACCCTAACATGCCACAGCATACCAGTTGAAAAACACTGGGTTAGACCATTGTATTTTTTTTAAGAAGTTTGAAAAGTAAACAGAAAAATACAGGATGTTATTAGAATACTGAATGATTTTATTTGATAGCAATTGCCTCAATAAAAATGATAATTAGAACAACAAAAAAAAAAACTCAAAATTTGAAATACATTGTTCAAAACAGTTAAGTATATTTTATTTTTTTTTTTGTTTAATATGAAATCAGAATTAATAATTTTGTTTTATATAACTAAAATAATCAGACAAATAATTAAAAAAATTGTTTATGGTAAATTTGATAATGTATTAAATGTTATAATATAGTCTTTGATAGTAACTGTAATAAAACATATGAGAATCTGCAAGCTAAAATAACTATTAAAATTATAAAACATTAACATATTTATCATGCAAAAAGAAATTATTCAGAAGTTCTTGATGAATAATACCAAATGTAAAAAATGAAAACTTTAAGTCTAGATTGATAGTAATAATTTTTTTTTTTTTTTGTTGAATTTTTTCGTCCGATGGCTAGATTATTATTAAAATATATCAAAGACAAGTCTGTCCAATAAGGATCACCATTTATTTTGCATTTCAGACATACATTTTTAGTTCCAGCGCTTTTTTAGTAGATATAAAGCAGAACCACCCATTGGCCAGATGGATAAGAAGTAAGATGTCTGTGTCACCGATTCCTTTACTTTTAATTGGATGTTTGTTTTTTAAAGGACTTTTTTACCTTTTGGCGGCATGTAGCCTAAAAAGGAAGGCCTGTCGCCATTACTGTGTATGTCTGAAGCGCAAAATAAATGGTGATCCTTATTGGACAGATTTGTCTTTGATATATTTTAGTAATAATTATATTAAAACCTAAATTTACTATTTCAACTTTTTACTTAGATAAAAAAACCTATTCCAGCAATTACTTTTATTTATCTAATGCTTTTGGCTATCTTTGTAGCCATTGTCTGGATCAAACATTTCAACTTTTCTTAATTGTTTTGAACAGCATTTTTCAAACCATGGGTCATGACCAAATATTGGATTGCATTAAAATTTTAATAGGTTGCAAAATGATATTACATTCAGCAGAAATACTTATAGTACTTGTATTATTGAACTAAGAACTAGGAACAATAGATGCATCTGTTAAGTACTGAAAACTTTTAACAACTTTTTTCTTGTAATTATTATCGTCGTTTAATAATAAAATTAAGATTATTGAATGTGTGTATATGAAATTGATTTCTGTTTTATATTTTGAATAACATGAAAATAGATATTTTATGTAAAGTCTTAATCATGAAGCCATTTAAATTGCAATGGTTTTGAAAATATTTTCTTGTTTATTTAAACTTTTAGGTTTATTGTCATACATAACAATAAAGTATAAAAAATAAATAATGGATGAATTTTGGCACAAGTGGATCAATACATAATTTTTAAAGATATATATATATATATATATAATGAAATTGACAAAAATAATTTCTTACAATCTGAAAAGTACATCTTAAAAAAGGACTCATTAAGTTTATAAAAAAAAAAACTTGTAATATATTTAAAGTAAAATAGACTCCCATTTAATTTTGAAATAGTCTGTTTTATTTACAATCATCAGTCTTATATGTTTAATAGTTAAATTTCAAAAACAACAGTATATGCAGTTTAGGAATTTGTTTTTCATTTCATGATTATAATTTTATGAAATGTTATAAGGTTTAAGTTGTTTTCTTCTTATGAATTTACAAAGCAAAGATCTCTGATTTAGAAGCTGATCCTTTTCTTTCTAAGTGTGTATGGTTTATGATTATAATATCATTAATATCTAAGTAATAGCTGCACAAGTAAAGATAAACCTATCCATAAATTATCTGTGCACTCTTACAAAGAAAATGTTTTCACTTTGGATGGGGAATTTGGCAACATTTTTATCAAAGAGACCTAATGGAAATAGACACCATTAGGTAGGTTTCTGTTCAAGAGAAAAACTGATAGATTTTAAGAAATGCAGTAAAAATAAATCTATCAGTGCAGCTGGGTAAGTTATGGTTACATAGATATCAGAATTTTAGACAAAAACAGTTCATTCATAATGCTCTTTTTAGATTTAATTTTTTTTAATTCATTCTTCATAATAGTGATGTTAGTGTATAATGTCAGTATATGTGTGTTTGATGTTTTTTGATTAGATTGAAATATGTTATATTATCAAATAATTATTATGTTTGAAAATATAGTGCAGTCTCAATAACCTACCCAGAATTAGAATTTAAATGCTTTGATATATCAATCAAAAGCACAATCATGATTACTTTTAATACTTCTAAACCAGATTGCATGCATTCATTAATATTGTATTACTTTTTATTTTGTTCTATCTTGAAAAAGATCGAATATTTGAAATTAAAATGTTTGCATGTTAAGCAGTTTTTATTTTTGATTTATAAAGTATTTTTATAAGGTT